ATTTAATACAATGTATTTTTTCCTTTTTTTATTGAGAAAAGGAAAAAAAAAGTTTCCGCCTCCTCCCAGCCACCCATTTCCCTACCCTTCCTCCCACTCTTCTCCCCTCCTCCCCCCACTCCTATCTCCCTCCCTCTCCAGTCTGAAGGGCAGTCAGGGTTCCCTGCCCTGTGGAAAGTCCAAAGTCCTCCCCCCTTCATCCATGTCTAGGAAGGTGAATATCCAAACTGGCTAGGCTCCCACCAAGCCGGAACATGAAGTAGGATCAAAACCCCGTGCCATTGTCCTTGGCTTCTTATCAGCCCTCATTGTTTGCCATGTTCAGATAGTGCGGTTTTATCCCGTGCTTTCTCAGTCACAGTCCAGCTGTCCTTGGTGAGCTCCCAAAAGATCAGCCCCACTGTCTCAGTGGGTGGGTGCACCCCTTGTGGTCCTGACATCCTTGCTCATGTTCTCCCTCCATCTGCTCCTCATTGGGACCTTGNGGACACACACTTTTAATCAAAGCACTAGAAGGTAGACCTTTGAATTCAAAGTCAACCTGGCCCGCAAAGTGCGTTTCAAGACAGCCATGGCTACAGAGAAACCGTCTTGGGCGGATATGCTCTTGCTCAGCTTTCCGTGCTGTGGTCAGATAGATGCATCGAGCCTCCTACAACATCCTGTAAGTTTTATTCTGGCTTTCCCTCTTGTCAACTGAAGCAGCACCATGCTGTCTGTGCACCTAAATCTTGTGTGTACTGGTGAGTCCTGCTGGGAATGAAGGGTGTAGAATAACAGGGTGGAAATATCGTCATGGGAGGCTGGATCTTTCCACAGAAGAAACACACTGGCTTCCGTAGTTGATATTGGTGTATGAGTTGATCATAATGAAGTGAGCTCTGACTCTACTGTACAGAGATCAAAGAGGGACCGGGGTATCAGATCACTAGGCTGTTGGAAGGTGATAGATCATCCATCATAAGCTTTTCTTTCCAGGCTTCATCCTACTCCTGAGGACTTTGGCACAAGCAGGTGAGTCCAGCCTTAGCCTTGAGATACTACTAACCGTGCCAATAGAGAAGATTCATTCTAACAGGAGAGTGGGCATCACGGTGTGTTGTCTGGTGGAATCTGTGAGTGATTCTTTGGTTAGTCTCCTGAACTGTAAAGTTAGGACCTTGAAAACACACCTCTCAGTCCTGTTCCAGATTGTACTGGACACTGCCCCTGGCTCAGTTAGGCATCAATTTTGATCAGACAAACATTTTGGGGTTTTTTTAAGACAGGGTTTCTCTATGTAGCTCTTACTATCCTAAAAATCACTTTGAAGACCAGGCTGCCCATGAACTCATATATTCACCTGTCTCTGCCACCCAAGTGCTGGGATTAAAAGAGTGGATAAAACTGGGCAGTGGTGGCCACTTCTTTAATTCCAGCACTTGGGAGGCAAAGGCAGGCAAATCTCTGTGAGTTCGAGGCCAGCCTGGTCTACAACAGCTAGTTCCAGGACAGGCTTAAAAGTTACAAACCCTGTCTTGAAAAATCAAAAAAATTAAAACACCTGAAGAATAATCAATACTTTTAAATAAAAAATAGTCATCCCCTTTCTACACTCTCACCTGACCATCCCCACTTATTTTTATATTATGATGCTATCATTTATTACTTTTTAAATATGTGTGTCACTTGACAAACCATTGAAGTTATTTTTGTCTTCAAACAACTTTGCTACAGATAGAATTTGTGTATCACCAGCACACTGTTGACACATCTCATTTTTGCTTGCTTTACTGAGCTACTGTTACTTTCTCCACATGAGGATGTCAGGTCACTCATTACCAGCCTTTCTTTCTGCTTGAAGATCTTCACAGCATTTCCAATGTTTATAATGATGAACTCTTGTCTGCTACTGTTTTTCTGAGAAAATCATTATCTTGATTTTGAAGGGCAGTGTTGCTTATATTTATAGGCAGGGTTTTTCTTTTTCTACTGAATTCATTGAATACATCATCCTGAACTCTTGTGAGTTGTAGGTCTTCCATTAGCTGTAATTAGAAGTTCCTTATATGTTCTTTGCTTCTCTTATTATTGTGATTTCAGGATCTTTTATGATAATAATATGTTCTGTGATATGATCGTTTGGGTTGAATTTCTTTTTCTACCATTTGACCTTTTTGGACCTGATCATGTTCATTTTACTCCAAGTTCAAGAGTTTTCTATTCTTTCTTCTCTACATTTTTTACTTATTTTTATTAGCTGTTTTTCCTTTCTTTTGTTAATTCTTTGATAATTTAATACAATGTATTTAATTATATGCATCACCCTGTGTAACATCATCCTAGTTTCACTCCACTAGATACCAAAGGGAACCTCTGTGTTCCTTTACTCTTTCTTGAACTTTTATGACTGATAATTTGGTAATGAGATGCACTCAAAAATATCCTGACATTCTTCTTTATTGAATTTTCATTTACTCATCATATTATATAAAGCCTGTTCTAAGCACATTCATTCTCCTATTTTATCATATGTACTATTGAGACAATCTATTAACTTTGTAAATTTTTCCATTTATTTGAGGTGTACCCATACGCACATACAATCATGTTTTTGTGTGTGCCTGTGTGTTTATGTTTTCGTGTGTGTGTGTGTGTATGTGTGTGTGTGTGTTGGGTGTACATGTGCTATGACATATGTGTGAAAGTCAAGGAAAACTTCTGGAATCAGTTTTCTCTTTTCACCTCTTGGGTCCCAGCAATGAAAACCAGAGAGTCAGGCATGGCAGCAAAAGATTTACCTCCTTAAACATCAAGCTGGTCTACAAGTTTGTCCAATTCAGTAGTTGTATGTTTTGCTTAAGAGAGATGTTGCCAAAATTTTTATGTTGTTCAATGATTTGCTTCCAAATTTTATAAAACATTTTAATCAAAGTTAATTTTTTATAGTTAGATAACATCTTTTTGTTTTATAAAAGATTGTTTTTTGAATTTCTTGAGACTTTCATACATGAGTAGTATATTTGCATCATTTCTACCCATTTGAATATATCCAAAGAACTTGATACCCTATGCCATGGATACTTCCCCCAGTCATGTTTCTTGATGTTCTATTCTAAAGAACTAAGACAAGGAAATTATCTAGATATATTTCAAATGATGATCAGGTAATAAAAATGTGTCACATACACACTCTGTAATACTAGTCAGTGGTAAGTAATAACAAAACCATGAAATTTTTAGAAAAATAAATATTTTAGAAAATATTTTACTGAGGGAGATTACATAGACCATAAAAAATCCCACAGTTTCTCTCTTATGTCATGTTCTTAGCTCCGAAACTTTATTCATGATATCGTATAATTCTGTAACTATTTTAAAAATACTACAGTGAATTATCTGTTGTGGGCTTCATAAATCTTCTTTTCCACTGTATTTACTACCAGAGCCTCAGCATTGTTCTCTGGCATGTTTGACTTCTCTGATTTTCATACGCAAGTTTTTGCACACAGACACCTTCATATTAAAGAGAACCATCACCTCTGTCAGATCTTTACTATTAATTCTCACCTGAGAATAGATTTGGGTAATTGGATGCAACCCTGGACAGGATAGCATTGATGTCAGTTTCCCATGTTTCACTAACTTGCTTCCTCAGTTTTCTGATCAGATGTTTTTGGTAGCTGGGCTTCCTGGTACAGTAAATTACTGGCCACTTACCACAATCAGGTACAGTTTTTCACTGGGGTACTTGAAAGCCTCTGCCTGAGCAGTGTTTCAAGATGTCCTCACAGGTTGGAGTCTATATGGTCTACTGTCTCTTTTCTCAGAAACATCTCCCATGTGGATACAGAAGAATGACCAAGATTCATGGGCTGGCAATCATGAGACCAAATAATTTTTATCAACAAGTGACTAATGAGGCAGAACAATGCTATTCTCTCAATGTTCCACATGCAAGGAGCCTAAAATGGTTAAGAAACTATATTTCTGTATCTAACTTGTCACTCAGTATAGAAACATGAGCCGATGTGACCTCTGTGAATGAATCTCTGTACATGAGTACTTAAGAGACAGAGTAGTACAAAGGATTCATTCCTCCTGTTTTGCTAGTTTTCTCAGTTCCATGTTCCTAGGGGCTGACTTCCCTCACTGCTGAGATATTGAACATTCACAATGTATTTCTAATCCAGTATTGTTAAGTTTCTAGAGTCTATGAAGGTGAGTCAAAAACATTCCTTTTTTTATAACTTCTTGGCCATAATCCCAATCTGTCTTCTCACAAATGAATCTTCCTCAAGTCCTCTGATATAATTTCCTTTTAGATTACATTTTTCATTACCAAATCGACTTCATTATTTAATACTTACTCAAAATTCTCAATTAACATATCTTAGCATAAAAAGATATTCCATTTGTACATGGTAGTTGGGTGACACACAAGACATGAGAATGACACATTTTGTTTTTTGACACTTTCCTTGGGAAGATATAACACAGGCAATTCTGGTCACCCCATAAAGGAAATCCAGGACAGACCAAACAATGATTGCATCAATGTCCAAATCTTTGAACTTGTGCATCTATTGAGATTACTAATAGAAGTATGGATACGGGTTTATTCGCTGAAACAAGGGATGACTCAAAATCATTACTGAAAACACATCTAAATATGGGTGATTTTCATGAAAGCCAAAACCATGGAGCTCCCTGCACAACTTGCTGGCAGCTGAATGAGTCTTGGATATCTCCTTTTAGAATTCAGCAGGAAAAGTAACTTACAGTTTCTATCAATCAGGAAGGGCCACTGGTGAATCTTGCAAGTTTCAGCTCTCCAATATATTAATGTTTGTTTACCTCTTGAATCCCCTGAGCCTTTAAAGCTCTAACATTGAAACAGAGATGTTTCAGTTCAGAGAAAAGAGTCAAACGATAGACCCTCAAGAAGTAAAATTTGGAGACACTGATCTCAGGAATGAAGGTGGATCACTAAATATTTTACTCTGTGTATCTTTCCACAGGAATTAATAACAAACCTACACTGACTGCCTGGCCAAGCCATGTTATTCCTCAGGGACATAATGTGACCCTCACTTGTGACACTCACAGTGTGTTTAACATAGTCAAGTTGTACAAAGAGCATGGGGATCCTAAATTTCAGGTCTATAATGGAATGTTCCAGAGGAGTCTTCTCTTGGGGCCTGTGACACCAGCATTTGGAGGAACCTACAGATGCTATAGTTATATACCTCAATACCATAATGAACTCTCATCACACAGTGAGCCTCTGAAGATCATAATTTCAGGTCAGAGATCTTATTTACTGTGTCTTTTCATTCTGCCAAACCTCCCTACAGGATAATTTTTAAAATGAGTTCTAGTCAGAATCTCAGCATTATAAAGGAATATGCTACACATGCAATTGGAAAATATTGTGCTGTTACCAGGGTCAAATATGTGGGAAATGGTCCATAGAAAGATGGAGGAGTCTGTGTACGAGCTGACATAAAAAATGAAAAGGACACTGGGATACTGATAAAAAGAACAGATTAATGGGAAAATAGCATAGGATTTCTGGGATACATACATTGATAGCAGGTTCATATTCACAATCTATTTATTCCTAGGAATCTACAGGAAACCTTTCCTTCTGGCCCTACCAACTCCTCTGATAAAATTAGGAGAGAAGGCGACATTGAAGTGCCACTCAGAGATTATGTTTGACATTTTCATTTTGACTTCACATAGAATGGGAATAAACAAGGACTCTTATCAGCTCTCTGCAGAATATCATTTTGGAGGATCCAATGCCAACTTCCTAATAGGACCTGTGACACCTGAGCATGCTGGAACTTACACATGCTATGGTTCTTACAAGCAAACACCATATGAGTGGTCTGATTCCAGTGACCCTGTTGACATAAAGATCACAGGTAAGAGGGTGCTACCTGGTCACCAGCCTCTCTATGATGAGAACAGTTATTATACAGACAGCATGTCCTAAATGAGTATGAGAAGCTTAGAGAAAGGCAGACTTGGAGAGCATATTACTGACATAGACGAGAAAAACAGAGATACAAGAACAAACCATTGGTTGTAACATAAATCACAAATAGAATGATGTCAAAGGAATCGTACCTAGAGATAAATAGAACAAAACAGCTTTGTGAGACTAATACGTATCAGAAACAATGACATCCTTCTACTAATGTTCAAAGTCCTAGAAGTTCATAATTTTGTTTGGCTTCTCNGTCTTGGGCGGATATGCTCTTGCTCAGCTTTCCGTGCTGTGGTCAGATAGATGCATCGAGCCTCCTACAACATCCTGTAAGTTTTATTCTGGCTTTCCCTCTTGTCAACTGAAGCAGCACCATGCTGTCTGTGCACCTAAATCTTGTGTGTACTGGTGAGTCCTGCTGGGAATGAAGGGTGTAGAATAACAGGGTGGAAATATCGTCATGGGAGGCTGGATCTTTCCACAGAAGAAACACACTGGCTTCCGTAGTTGATATTGGTGTATGAGTTGATCATAATGAAGTGAGCTCTGACTCTACTGTACAGAGATCAAAGAGGGACCGGGGTATCAGATCACTAGGCTGTTGGAAGGTGATAGATCATCCATCATAAGCTTTTCTTTCCAGGCTTCATCCTACTCCTGAGGACTTTGGCACAAGCAGGTGAGTCCAGCCTTAGCCTTGAGATACTACTAACCGTGCCAATAGAGAAGATTCATTCTAACAGGAGAGTGGGCATCACGGTGTGTTGTCTGGTGGAATCTGTGAGTGATTCTTTGGTTAGTCTCCTGAACTGTAAAGTTAGGACCTTGAAAACACACCTCTCAGTCCTGTTCCAGATTGTACTGGACACTGCCCCTGGCTCAGTTAGGCATCAATTTTGATCAGACAAACATTTTGGGGTTTTTTTAAGACAGGGTTTCTCTATGTAGCTCTTACTATCCTAAAAATCACTTTGAAGACCAGGCTGCCCATGAACTCATATATTCACCTGTCTCTGCCACCCAAGTGCTGGGATTAAAAGAGTGGATAAAACTGGGCAGTGGTGGCCACTTCTTTAATTCCAGCACTTGGGAGGCAAAGGCAGGCAAATCTCTGTGAGTTCGAGGCCAGCCTGGTCTACAACAGCTAGTTCCAGGACAGGCTTAAAAGTTACAAACCCTGTCTTGAAAAATCAAAAAAATTAAAACACCTGAAGAATAATCAATACTTTTAAATAAAAAATAGTCATCCCCTTTCTACACTCTCACCTGACCATCCCCACTTATTTTTATATTATGATGCTATCATTTATTACTTTTTAAATATGTGTGTCACTTGACAAACCATTGAAGTTATTTTTGTCTTCAAACAACTTTGCTACAGATAGAATTTGTGTATCACCAGCACACTGTTGACACATCTCATTTTTGCTTGCTTTACTGAGCTACTGTTACTTTCTCCACATGAGGATGTCAGGTCACTCATTACCAGCCTTTCTTTCTGCTTGAAGATCTTCACAGCATTTCCAATGTTTATAATGATGAACTCTTGTCTGCTACTGTTTTTCTGAGAAAATCATTATCTTGATTTTGAAGGGCAGTGTTGCTTATATTTATAGGCAGGGTTTTTCTTTTTCTACTGAATTCATTGAATACATCATCCTGAACTCTTGTGAGTTGTAGGTCTTCCATTAGCTGTAATTAGAAGTTCCTTATATGTTCTTTGCTTCTCTTATTATTGTGATTTCAGGATCTTTTATGATAATAATATGTTCTGTGATATGATCGTTTGGGTTGAATTTCTTTTTCTACCATTTGACCTTTTTGGACCTGATCATGTTCATTTTACTCCAAGTTCAAGAGTTTTCTATTCTTTCTTCTCTACATTTTTTACTTATTTTTATTAGCTGTTTTTCCTTTCTTTTGTTAATTCTTTGATAATTTAATACAATGTATTTAATTATATGCATCACCCTGTGTAACATCATCCTAGTTTCACTCCACTAGATACCAAAGGGAACCTCTGTGTTCCTTTACTCTTTCTTGAACTTTTATGACTGATAATTTGGTAATGAGATGCACTCAAAAATATCCTGACATTCTTCTTTATTGAATTTTCATTTACTCATCATATTATATAAAGCCTGTTCTAAGCACATTCATTCTCCTATTTTATCATATGTACTATTGAGACAATCTATTAACTTTGTAAATTTTTCCATTTATTTGAGGTGTACCCATACGCACATACAATCATGTTTTTGTGTGTGCCTGTGTGTTTATGTTTTCGTGTGTGTGTGTGTGTATGTGTGTGTGTGTGTTGGGTGTACATGTGCTATGACATATGTGTGAAAGTCAAGGAAAACTTCTGGAATCAGTTTTCTCTTTTCACCTCTTGGGTCCCAGCAATGAAAACCAGAGAGTCAGGCATGGCAGCAAAAGATTTACCTCCTTAAACATCAAGCTGGTCTACAAGTTTGTCCAATTCAGTAGTTGTATGTTTTGCTTAAGAGAGATGTTGCCAAAATTTTTATGTTGTTCAATGATTTGCTTCCAAATTTTATAAAACATTTTAATCAAAGTTAATTTTTTATAGTTAGATAACATCTTTTTGTTTTATAAAAGATTGTTTTTTGAATTTCTTGAGACTTTCATACATGAGTAGTATATTTGCATCATTTCTACCCATTTGAATATATCCAAAGAACTTGATACCCTATGCCATGGATACTTCCCCCAGTCATGTTTCTTGATGTTCTATTCTAAAGAACTAAGACAAGGAAATTATCTAGATATATTTCAAATGATGATCAGGTAATAAAAATGTGTCACATACACACTCTGTAATACTAGTCAGTGGTAAGTAATAACAAAACCATGAAATTTTTAGAAAAATAAATATTTTAGAAAATATTTTACTGAGGGAGATTACATAGACCATAAAAAATCCCACAGTTTCTCTCTTATGTCATGTTCTTAGCTCCGAAACTTTATTCATGATATCGTATAATTCTGTAACTATTTTAAAAATACTACAGTGAATTATCTGTTGTGGGCTTCATAAATCTTCTTTTCCACTGTATTTACTACCAGAGCCTCAGCATTGTTCTCTGGCATGTTTGACTTCTCTGATTTTCATACGCAAGTTTTTGCACACAGACACCTTCATATTAAAGAGAACCATCACCTCTGTCAGATCTTTACTATTAATTCTCACCTGAGAATAGATTTGGGTAATTGGATGCAACCCTGGACAGGATAGCATTGATGTCAGTTTCCCATGTTTCACTAACTTGCTTCCTCAGTTTTCTGATCAGATGTTTTTGGTAGCTGGGCTTCCTGGTACAGTAAATTACTGGCCACTTACCACAATCAGGTACAGTTTTTCACTGGGGTACTTGAAAGCCTCTGCCTGAGCAGTGTTTCAAGATGTCCTCACAGGTTGGAGTCTATATGGTCTACTGTCTCTTTTCTCAGAAACATCTCCCATGTGGATACAGAAGAATGACCAAGATTCATGGGCTGGCAATCATGAGACCAAATAATTTTTATCAACAAGTGACTAATGAGGCAGAACAATGCTATTCTCTCAATGTTCCACATGCAAGGAGCCTAAAATGGTTAAGAAACTATATTTCTGTATCTAACTTGTCACTCAGTATAGAAACATGAGCCGATGTGACCTCTGTGAATGAATCTCTGTACATGAGTACTTAAGAGACAGAGTAGTACAAAGGATTCATTCCTCCTGTTTTGCTAGTTTTCTCAGTTCCATGTTCCTAGGGGCTGACTTCCCTCACTGCTGAGATATTGAACATTCACAATGTATTTCTAATCCAGTATTGTTAAGTTTCTAGAGTCTATGAAGGTGAGTCAAAAACATTCCTTTTTTTATAACTTCTTGGCCATAATCCCAATCTGTCTTCTCACAAATGAATCTTCCTCAAGTCCTCTGATATAATTTCCTTTTAGATTACATTTTTCATTACCAAATCGACTTCATTATTTAATACTTACTCAAAATTCTCAATTAACATATCTTAGCATAAAAAGATATTCCATTTGTACATGGTAGTTGGGTGACACACAAGACATGAGAATGACACATTTTGTTTTTTGACACTTTCCTTGGGAAGATATAACACAGGCAATTCTGGTCACCCCATAAAGGAAATCCAGGACAGACCAAACAATGATTGCATCAATGTCCAAATCTTTGAACTTGTGCATCTATTGAGATTACTAATAGAAGTATGGATACGGGTTTATTCGCTGAAACAAGGGATGACTCAAAATCATTACTGAAAACACATCTAAATATGGGTGATTTTCATGAAAGCCAAAACCATGGAGCTCCCTGCACAACTTGCTGGCAGCTGAATGAGTCTTGGATATCTCCTTTTAGAATTCAGCAGGAAAAGTAACTTACAGTTTCTATCAATCAGGAAGGGCCACTGGTGAATCTTGCAAGTTTCAGCTCTCCAATATATTAATGTTTGTTTACCTCTTGAATCCCCTGAGCCTTTAAAGCTCTAACATTGAAACAGAGATGTTTCAGTTCAGAGAAAAGAGTCAAACGATAGACCCTCAAGAAGTAAAATTTGGAGACACTGATCTCAGGAATGAAGGTGGATCACTAAATATTTTACTCTGTGTATCTTTCCACAGGAATTAATAACAAACCTACACTGACTGCCTGGCCAAGCCATGTTATTCCTCAGGGACATAATGTGACCCTCACTTGTGACACTCACAGTGTGTTTAACATAGTCAAGTTGTACAAAGAGCATGGGGATCCTAACTTTCAGGTCCATAAAAAAATGTTCCGGAGGAGTCTTCTCTTGGGGCCTGTGACACCAGCATTTGGAGGAACATACAGATGCTTTAGTTATAAACCTCAATACCATCTTGAACTCCAATCACACAGTGAGCCTCTGAAGATCATAATTTCAGGTCAGAGATCTTATTTGCTGTGTCTTTTCATTCTGCCAAACCGCCCCACACTAGAATATTTAAAACAAGTTCTAGTGAGAATCTCATCATTATAAAGGAATATGCTACACGGGCAATTGGAAAATATTGTGCTGTTACCAAGGTCAAATAAGTGGGAAATGGTCATAGAAAGATGGAGGACTCTGTGCACGAGCCAACATAAAAAATGAAAAGGACACTGGGACACTGATGGAAATGGGATTTCTGGGATACATAGATTGATAGCAGGTTCATGCTCACAATCTTTTTATTCCTAGGAATCTACAGGAAGCCTTTCCTCCTGGCCCTAACAACTCCTCTGGTAAAATTAGGAGAGAAGGCAACATTGAAGTGCCTATCAGAGATTATGTTTGACACATTCACTTTGACTGCATGTAGTATGGGAATAAGCAAGGACTCTTACCAGCTCTCTGCAGAACCTCATATTGGGGGGTCCCATGCCAACTTCCCAATAGGTCCTGTGACACCTGACCATGCTGGGACTTACACATGCTATGGATCTTACAAGCAAACACCATACGAGTGGTCTGAATCCAGTGACCCTGTTGACATAAAGATCACAGGTAAGAGGGTGCTACCTGGTCTCCAGCCTCTCTGTGATGCAGAACAGTTATTATATAGACAGCATGTCCTAGAAGGTGAGTGTAAGAAACTTAGATAAAGGCAGACTTGAAGCATATATTACTGATATAGACGATAAAAACAGAGATACAAGAACAAACCATTGGTTATAGTATAAAGCACAGATTCAGGGATGTCAAAGGAATCGTACTTAGAAATAAAGAGAAAGGGGCAGCTTGGTGAGAATGATATGTATCAGAGATGATGATATCCTTCTACTAATATTCAAAGGCCTAGAAGTTTAGGATTTTGTTTGGCTTCTTCCTCTAAAAGACATGTCAGAAGACCTAGATGTATAAGTCTGACCTGTGTTCATGTGCTGAGTGGGGTTGTTTCTTCATCAGTCCTGAGGTCTTGGTACAGATGGCACCCATAGAATTTCTGTCAAGTTTGAGAGTTCTTCCATTCTCGTATTTGACTAACTATTCATCAAAGAATAGCATAACCCTAGGTAACTGAGTAGACCACCAGTCGCTGTCTGTTCTCTACATTGGAGCTGGCTGTGCTCCAAAATGTTGTCAGCCCATGTTTCAAACTCATTCACACATTCCAGGATGGGTGAGAAAATGCTATAATGTTTCCCCCTGGGATAGACATATGCAAATAATACAGAGACATGGAAATATATACAAACAGGGAGGCTGAGAGAAAGATTCAGATACTGAGGAAATAGTAAGCAAGGCATGTGGGGGAAGAGAAAACCTGCAAAAAGTCTTAAGCTTGACTGGAAGATTTAAGAAATAGAGAAATAATAGCAAATATTGGATATTTTAAAGCAGAAATAGGTGGAAGATTATAGATTATAGTTGAGCAGTAAACACACTATGAGAAACAAGGGAGGGAAGATCATCATGGCCCCTATTCAAGGAAACATATACATTCTTGGAATATTCTGTCCTTTGAAAAGAGAGATCCACTAACACAGATATGGGGAAAATACAAGATATAAAATTAATTACTTAGAATGAAGTCAGATTCTACATTTTAAATATACATAGGATGAACAATTTATAAGTCATGAAACTGTTAATAAACCATGAGAAGGGGAAGTATATTAACAAAGTGGGATCGAAAAGGGAAGGACCAGCAAAGGTGGTATAAGGGAAGTGATTGGGAAANCTAAAAGACACCTGTAAGAAGACCTAGACATATAAGTCTGATCTGCATTCATGTGCCAAATGTGGTTGATTCTTCGTGTGTCCTGAGGTCTTGGTACAGGTGGCACCCATAGAATTTCTGTCAAGTTTGACAGCTCTTCCATTCTTGTATTTGACTAACTATTCATCAAAGAATAGCATAACCCTAGGTAATTGAATAGACCACCAGTCGCTGTCTGTTCTCTATATTTCCAAAATGTTGTCAGCTCATGTTCCAAATTCATTCACACATTCTAGGATGGGTGAAAAAATCCTATAGCGGTTCCCCCTAGAATAGACATATGCAAATAATACAGAGGCATGGACATATGTTGTAGGGAGAGGGGCCCCTATGGTGTAGGAGGTCCTTTTGTATTTGTATTGCTTTCCTTGGTTATTAAAGAAACTGCCTTGGCCTAGTTGATAGGGCAGAACTCAGGTAGTCGGGGAAGACAGAACAAAATTCTGGGAAGAAGGGCAGAGTGGCAGATGCTATGAATCTCTGGCCTGAGACCGACATAGGTTAGAATCTTGCCAGTAAGCCATAGTCACATGGTGATACACAAATTTAGTAGAAATGGGTTAATCAAGTTGTGAGAGTTAGCCAATTAGAGGCTAGAGCTAATGGGTCAGGCAGAAATTTAATTAACACAATTTCTTTTTTTAATATAATTTTTTATTGAAAAAAAAATTTCTGCCTGCTCCCCGCCTCCCATTTCCCTCCCCGTCTCCCGTCTCCTTTTTCCCCCCTCCTCCCTCTCCTCTCCCCCTCCCCCCCCCCCTCTCCCCCTCCCTCTCCAGTCTGAAGGGCAGTCAGGGTTCCCTGCCCTGTGGAAAGTCCAAAGTCCTCCCCGCTCCATCCTGGTCTAGGAAGGTGAACATCCAAACTGGCTGTTATTTCGGGTGTAAACTAGCCAGGAGGGGTGAAAGGCAGGCCCTCTCTCCTTGCAACAGGAATATATACAAACAGGCAAACTGAGAGAAAGATTCAAATACTGAGGAAATAGTAAGCATGGCATATGTGGGAAGAAAAAATCTGCAAAAAGTTTTAAGCTTAATATTGGGTATTTCAAAGCAGAAATAGGGAGCAGATGGTAGATTACACTTGAGCAGTAAACACACTATAAGAACCAAGGGAGGGAAGTTCATCATGGCCCCTGTTCAAGGAAACAAACACATTCATGGGATATTATGTCCTTTGAAAAGAGAGATCCATTAACACAGATATGGGGGGAAAGGCCAGATATAAATTAATTACTTAGAATGAAGTCAGATTCTACATTTTTAATATACATAGGATGAGGAAGTTATAAGTCATTGGGAACAAACCATGAGAAGGGGAAGGATATTAATAAAGTAGAAAAGAAAAGACAAGAAATACATATGACATGGAAGGGGAAATGAGGGGAAGGACCAGCAAAGGTTGTATAAGGGAAGCGATTAGGAAGAAAATGTACAAAATGAACTGTCTGAGAATGTCTTAATGAAGTTCATTGCTTTACATCTTAATTAAAACAAAATAATAAGTATCTCTAATTAACCCAATGATTGACAAAACATTTGGAAAAACTGAAAGTATAAAGAAGAACAATGGGAAAAGGAATGGAATCAGTGGAAATTGATAGAGAAGAAAGAATGATAGCATAAATATGATCAAGATTACATCTATAAACATATGCAACAACACTTAAAGAAAAAGAAGTCACAAAATGATGTAATTATACTTTAACTTCAGATTTTAATGAAAACAAATATAAAATGCATTATATAGTTGAATGTTTCATAATAAATCCAGTTACTACATAAATTAAATATCTGTTTATAAAAACAAACTTAAAAAGAAAGATGGTATGAACTAATGAATATCAAGGCAGAAACTTTCAAAAAGTGAGAACTGAAATAAAATATATCGGTATAGGATTGAAGTCAGAGATCAGTAAGGTAATTTAGAAGAAAAGAAGGAGATGGGAAAGAAAGGGAGGTAGTGAAGGGAAAGATAAATGAGAGATTATAGAAATGGAAGCAGGGAGAGAGAAAACTGAGAAGTGACTGAACACTGGTAAGGAACTGCTCCTCTACTGTCTCTACCTCCTTCCTTCTAGGTTTATACAAGAAACCTTCCTTGTCTGCCCTGATGGGAACTGTGGTGACATCAGGAGAGAACATGACCTTGTCCTGCATCTCTGAACATCAGTTTGACATGTTCCATCTGTCCATGAAAGGGGTTCCTCAGGGACATGGGTTGCCCGCAGAGCAGAGCCACAGTGGGACATTCCAGGCCAACTTCCTTCCTGTTCCTTTGATCCAGGCAGAGACGTATAGATGCTATGGTTCTTTCAGGAACTCTTCCCATGTGTGGTCATCCCCAAGTGACCCACTGTACCTTTCTATCTCAGGTAAGAAAGTCTTATATGTATCTCATATCTTGTGACTAAGGAGATCCTAAAGAAGCCATGTCTGAGAACCATTTACTGGTTATAGAGAGACTCAGTAACATACACATATACATAATATGTGTGTGTGTACAAAAAATATTAATCAAAGACGAAAAGGCTATCAATGTAATGGGTGTATGGAAAAACCTGGAGGAAGGATACCTGAGATGTGCTGAAGAGATTAAGAGAATAAGAAAGGAGATACAATTATATTTCATTTAAGTTTTTTAAAAGATATAGAGTTTAAGAATGAATATCAAATTACAAAATAATAGATAAGGAGCCTCTCAAACAATCCTTATCCTGATCAGTCAGCCACACTGGCATGTGTATGTATCCATAGAGAATAAGAAAAAGGTCAGGACAGACTCATTAAGGATAATATTGCAATCAGTTTGGAGATCACAGATGGAGCAGCTTCCTGATCTGTCCCTCACAAAGCTCTCTCCACGGTATTCCTATTGACTCATCACAACGTGAAATAAACACCTCAAAGCAAATCACATAATGGCATCCTATGATTCTAAAGGCTCAGCACTAAGAGGTAGAGTGGGTGCTGCTTACTCTCCAAATTTAAAGGACTTTGCATGTGGGGAAGGCACATAGTCTTTTGATGAACTATTACCGTCTCCTCTCCCCTTCCCTAGTAAACT